TTTATTGCTTACTTCTTCTATACATGCTCTTCACGGGTAAATACCATTTTGATGGTATTTATCAGAATGTTTTTGCTCCGAATTGTCCGAATGTTTTTTTTTTGTTCAGAACTATCCTTAATTATCCGATTTTTCTGTTCCGTATTATCCGAACGCTTTTTGTTTCGATTTATTAAATTACTTTTTGTTCCGAATTATCCGAATGTTTTTTGTTCCAAATTATCCGAATGTTTTTTTTATCGTTCCGAATTATCCAAACCTTTTTTTGTTCTGAATTATCCGATTTTTTCTGTTCCGTATTATCCGAACGCTTTTTGTTCCGAATTATCAAAATGTTTTTTGTTTCGAATTATCGAAATGTTTTTTGTTCCGAATTATCAAAATGTTTTTTGTTCTGAATTATCAAAATGTTTTTTTTTTCCGAATTATCAAAATGTTTTTTGTTTCGAATTATCAGAATATTATTGTTCCGAATGCTTTTATTCGGAATTTTCCGAATTTTTCTGTTCCATATAATCCAAATTTTTTGTTCCAAATTATTCCGATGTTTTCGTTCCGAATTATCAGAAGGTTTTTTTTCTAAATGTTCTTGTTCCGAATTATCCGAAATTTTCTGTTCCGTTTTATTCAAATTTTGTTCCGAATTATTCGAACGTTTTTTTTTTTTTTGTGCCGGATAACCGAATGTTTTGTTCCGATTTATCAAAACTTAATATATATTCGAAGAACATGTCAGTCGAAATTTTTGTGACAAAAAACAAACTCAAAATGATAAAGATATTCGTCAAAAAACTTATGAAATAATAAAACTGCTTTCCCAGTAAACTTCAGAGGAAGATAAACTTGGTGGCGTGAGATACACTAAGAACATACAATGTTTCTGAGTGCGTGTGTATCTTTGAATACGTTCGTAGATATGTGAGCGTATGTGAGCTTGTGGACATACACGCGTAAGTGTATGTGAGTGCGTACGTGTATTTGTTGTTATTGTGTGTTTTTATGTTTGATATTTGAGCGTGTGCTCCTATATATGTATGCGCGTGTGCATGTCAGTATACACGTGTGTGTGTGTGTCTTCGCATGTGCTTGAAAAGAATGTAGAGATTTCCACCATTTCTAAGTTGCACTTCTTGCCCGTTTGTCTATTTTATCATGAACACATCAAATTCCCATTAAGCATCCGGTTTCAATTCACCTTTATTATAACCACATTTGTCATATTCTTTGTCATGAAGATATATCAGGACATATATCTTTATATATATATATATATATATATATATATATATATATATATATATATATATATATATATATATAAAAAATGACTGACAAGGTACTGTGGTTAATTTCTTTTTTTAGTGAGTACATAAATTATGTAGAAATTGTCCGAATGTTTTGTATGTCCGAACACTTTCGACTATACTTTAAGCCATTATCAAGGATGATTTTATTTTAATTTTAACTAATACAGAAATTCAGATAAAAATATCCATACATTCAGTTAAATGTAAAAACAAAATCATCCTTGATAATGTCTAAAAGTATAGCCAAAGCTTGTACATACAGAACATTCGGACAATTGCTATAAATTTATGTCAGAAAGAAGAAAATTATATATATATATATATATATATATATATATATATATATATATATATATATATATATATATATATATATATATATACACATACACTTGTGTGTACGTATGTATGTGTGTGCGTCTGTGAGTGTGTTTAAAAAAGTACTATGAATTATTATTCAAGCATACACACAATTACATATACACACATTTACTCCTTTCGTTCTTGGATCTGATGAAGCCTAGAAAGGTGAAACGCGTAATCAAATCTAGTTTCAATGAAACGTTTTCCATTTGTTAAATTTCTTATATATATATGTAGGATACAGGTTCGAATCCTGTCGAGGACAAATATTTTCTGTGAAAATTTCTCGGACATTTCAAGCTACTACATCAAATTTAATATTTCCTATAAGCAAAATAACGTGCTTTATTTCTAAACGAATTTAAATTGATTGGAATGAGCTTATTTTTGAAAATCGCTAAAAGCAGCTGATTTTTGCCATATTTATAAATCTTTCTGCACAACGTAATTGTCTTTAATAAAAAAAAAATCTTGCAAAAATAAAATATACTTTTTTGAAACTGTATTTGAGCAAGATTAGCTGATTTAAAACAAATATTACTTACTTCTTGTTTAACAAGAAAAAAAAGGAAAAGCATTTTCTAACAAGGAGGTGGGTGTTTCTATGAGTTGTTGACAATTATCTCGATGGATTTTTTTCTACGGTGTATATATCTGTAAAAATATTTGACAAATATATAATGCGAGAACCACTTTTATATATTTTTTTTCTGTTTCGTAATCTTAAATATTTAAGTAATATGTTTTATTGAATTTTAGGTACTTGGGTTTTAAACTATTTTAAACTATAGTAGCGACTTTTATTTCCTGATAATATCATGCATGGACCTCCGTATTTGCAAAAGTCGGTACGTTTATACACATATAAAAATTCAAAATTATTTTTAAAAAAATGGTGTCTCTTAATTTAATAAGCTTTTCCATTTATTTTTTAATTAATAGCAATGTCACCTAAACGCTACAAATTAATGCAGAATTTAATAAGATTTAAAACTTTATAAATTATTTTAATTAATATTTTTAAAAATTAAAACATTTCCTGTAAAAATTCATTATTTATCGAAAAATTGTTTTGTTAAGACAATAGTGTCCATAATATATGTTTTCATTAAAAGCAATTAAAAACATTTCTAATTAAATAATGAATTAGTTTCATTGCATTTTCATTTTCTATTCAGAGAAGATTTTCCGTAGTTTGGGGTGGGGGTTCTGTTTGACAAAAAAAATTGATGATCTAAATTCTCAAAACGTGTGCTTCCATACATAATATTAACATTAAGCCCTACAAAATTGAATTTCGCAAAATTTCATAAAATTAAATAAATGGGGGTAACAGATTTAAAAAAAACAATATATATATTTATACAAAGATTTAAAAAAAAAAAAGAAACGTTTCTAAAATAATTTGATCCATTTCTGAATAAGACCTGAAAGTTTCATCAAAATCCGACAATTATTTGATTTTTTGCAAAAATTTCCAAATGTTTTTCACCGCAAAAAAAGACACTAAAAATTTCCTATACTAATTTATGTTCACAAGGTAACGCAAGAAAAAAAAATAACAAAAATTTCGAAGGTTTGAAAAGAATTAAAATATATAATTTAATAATAAAATAATCTTTTGGTTCTTTCTTCTTAATAATAACATAAAAATTTTGACGCTAAAACTTTGTTCTTATTGAGTTTGGGGCATTTTTCATAATGTAGGCACATTTTTTAGCGAATCTTTCGAAAGCACGTGCGATACTCTGCCGTAGACAGCCGCCAACCAGGGGAGGTAACACAGCTTCGGTGGCTAAGGAAGTACTGCCACTCCTGGCGCTTAAATATATATATATATATATATATATATATATGACGAATTATGTGATATATATATATATATATATATATATATATATATATATATATATATATATATATATATATATCTAAAAGGAACCGTCATTTCACCTACACGTGCTTTACCAATTTAGCCACAGAAAGAGCGTTTGGGTTAGGGGGTCGATTTTACTGTTTTTAAACTACAATTCTCCATTATTTTCTCTCATAACGTTTCCTAATGTGTGACGTCATTTTGTTTTACATTGGATACGCATCGAGCAGATATGAATGTACGAGAGAAAATCATGGAGAATTGTGGTTTAAAACAGTAAAATCGACCTTATAACCGAAACGCTCCTAATATATATATATATATATATATATATATATATATATATATATATATAAAGTGTGTTCCAATAACTTGGACCGATTTTAATGTGAATTAAGTTTAAGGATCTAATGATTTTTTTCTTTTTCTTTCAGATTTGGCGGATATTTGGGTGATATTATTTTTTGCACATAATTGCCATGACTTAAATAACATGATCCAATAGAGAAATATATAAATTTTTACGAATAACACTGATTTATCTACTGCTGACTTTGATCAGTCTTAATGAAACACCCTTTATATAATCCGTCCTAATGAAACACCCTGATATGTATGTGTGTGTGTTTGTGCGCGCGTGTGAGCATATGCGCACGCGTGTGTATGTGTATGTGTGCATAACGTATACTTAGGCAGAAACAACCCATTTAATCATGTTTTGATGGTATCGACACGATCTAATTGTTATTAATTATTTACAGTTTGCATGTAAGCTGATGCATATCTAGATTCAACCCTCACTAGTCATTTTCAGGAACGTTAATATTAGCAATTGTAACTTAGACGGGCTTTTCATTATTAATTTCACCTCAAGCAAGACAGTAATGCTACTAGTACGCACGGGGTTACAGGGAGTGAAAGTGAAAGAGAAGACTGAGAATAGGGAGGATTGAGGAAAGAACAAAAAATGAACGGGATTCAAGATGATAGAAGATAGCGATTGACGTTGCATTTAAATTTTTAAAGATTGGAGTTATCAGGGAAGCAAGAAAACGGAAGGGATTTCCACAAGCGGGAAAGCGAGAAAAAACTGCTGGAGTAGAAGTGATGGTTGCATTTAGCTATTTCAACAGTATAAAGGGTGGGACCTAAATGCCAGTCTAGTAGCACGTTTAAATTCATGTATTGGGGGTACCAGGGGAAAAAGCTGAAAAATTATTAAGAATTTTGGGGAGTTTTATCATAAATTTTCTCTGACTTTGCTACAAATACACACACACTCACACACACACACAAATAACATTATGATTTTTCCAAACATAATGGTGTTCTTTGTCACTGCATTGCTTAGAATAAATTTAATTTTCTTTCCTCTTTTTTATTTCCTCATATCCTCGACGATATTTCCTCTTAGAAAATTGGATTGAAAATGTGCGCCATAAAATATGGCAAACCGTGAAATGTGAAGATGAAATAAAGTAAAAAGAAGGAAAGCAAAAAAAAGAAGACGTATTAATTACATTAAACAGGGGAAGTGAAGAAAACTGAAAAATCAGATAAATGAAGAAGAGAAAGATCGAAAAGAAAGCAATTGGAGGAAAGAAAGAAAAGTTAAAAGAATGGAAAGAATTTTTATTTTCTTTCTTTCTATCATTCTTTTTTCTTTCTTTTAACAGGGTTGCGGAAACGTATAGAAAAGAGGAATAGAATGAGAATAATTGTAGAGAAATAATCACATGAATAAATAGTAAAGAACAATAAAAAACTAAAAAACAAATAAATGTACGAAAGGAAAGAAGGAAGAAAGAATGGAAGAAAAAGATGAAAGAAAGAAAGAAAGAAAAGGAAAATAAAATGAAAGAAAGTAAATTCTCAAAATCAACAAAGTAGGAAAAGAGAAAGACAGTATTTTTCACCTCATTTATTTTTCGTAATGAAGAGATATTGCTTACTTTTTCTTTCTCTCAAATCTACACATTTGCGGCCATGTGCAAATCCAAAGTCCTTCAGACCAGACTTTAAGACAATAAAATTCTCTTCGAACGTCTTCTCTGTTACCCGACAAAAACAGTTCAACGACAGACACAAGAACACACTCGAAGAAGCATCCCGCACACAAACTCCACATACCCCACCACGTACACTAATAGACATTAGATATATGTTCGCAAACATATCTAGATGCACGTATAAAGGTATCACAATGAATATATAAAAACATTTATACACACATATATGTACATAAATTCATGGACATTTTTTCTTATAAGACTGTACTTAAAACGGATTAAATTTTTCATATATATATATATATATATATATATATATATATATATATATATATATATATATATATATATTTATATATATATATATTCAATCTTTTCTCAATTCCTAGGACATGTGCCTAGTTATTGCCTGGATTTGGCCTGAATTCCAGGAAAAAAGATGCTCACACACACATATATATATATATATATATATATATATATATATATATATATATATATATATATATATATGCGTGTATGTGCATGTGTCTGTGCGTGTGTGTGCGCACACGTGTATATATGTAATCATATATGTTCACGCAAAAAATATACAACTCTACGTACATAAACTGGCGATGATAAATGTTTAAAATTTGCTATGTTTATAGAGGAAGATTCTTCAATAAAGAGGATAGAGCATATGTGCATAAAAACTGTGGACATCAACACTTTTTCGTGAATGTCGGTTTTTTACGCCTTAAGTGATCATCATTCAATATATCTTACGACTATAGATAGATAGATAGATAGATAGATAGATAGATAGTCGTATCTAATATCTATCTATCTATCTGATAGACAGATACTAGGTACGGCCATGGACTTCCCAAAAACATAAAAAAAAACAATCAAACAAAAAGTAAAACAAAACAAAAAATTAACCGGAAAACCCCTTTTTACATAATTTACAGATTTGAAGCTAGTTTCTTGTTTTATCTGAAAGATAACAGCCTAAAGCTAATCTGTTTGAAAATAAAATAAAATTTCTGGACGTAAATAAAGTTTTTACAAATAGATATAAAAATTCTCTTTAAAATCTAATACTTGTCCTACAGTTGTGTTTCAAAGTATATTTCTTAATATTAAAATTAATTAAAACATTCATTAGTATTAATTAATTGGATTTTGGAAAAGTAATGTTTATTTTTTGCTTAAAATATAATGAAAATAACGTTTATTTACGCATAGTAGTCTGTGAGCTGTCATCAAGGTCATAAGTCAGCAACAATAGTTTTCTACTGCCATCCCTAACTCCTAGAAACCGCATTTTTAAATTAAAGAAATAAGTAACAGTAGCAGCAGCACAATAATCAATAAATTGGTATTTATGTTTAAAAATAATTTTTCTTTAACTTTACCTAACCAGTAGTTTAAGAGTTTATATTACATTAGAAGAATAAAAAAGATATTAAATAAAATCATACTTTGGAGTGAAATTCATTGCTTTTATATTTTTTATTGTTTTCTTACATGTTTGATGTTATAAAATATTTAATTGCACCCAATATCTAATAAATAAACAGGAAACAGACACAGAAAAAATACATTTGAATCGATAGACTGGGGAAAAAATGAAAAACACAAAACTGACTGATTACGAACGATAGAGATTAAGTTGATTGTTTTAATCATTTCACCTCAAGTAAGGCGATAATGCAACTAAGACGCAAGGGGTTTACTGGGAGTGACAGAGAATGAGAAAAATTTAGTGAGGAGAAAAAGCAATCAAAGAATAGAATTCAGAATGACAGATTATAGCAATAGACGTTGTATTTAAAATTTTTGAAGATTGAAGGTGTCAGGGAAGCAATAAATACAATAATTCCTGTCAAACCGTGAATTGAAGGTCGTTCTCAACGGATTCTCCTCCAGTTCCTATCCCACGAACGCAGGTGTTCCTCAAGGTTCCATTCTGGGCCCTACTCTATTCCTTATCTTCATCAACGACCTTCCTGACGCCATAGATTCCCAAGTTGGCATATAAGCGGATGGCACTACAATTTACTCCTGCCTCAAAAACAAATCTAGTGTCGCAGACAAAACTAACCTGGCTCTGCGTCTCGAAAAGGACCTCCAATCGGTTGTGAACTGGGGCAGGAATTGGCTGGTCAACTTTAATGCCTCAAAAACTAAACTGCTCTCTCATAATCAACACAGAGATCCTTCCTTGCTCCCCATTAGAATGTCTGACGCTCAACTTCTCGAGAGCACCTCTCTGCGGCTGCTCAGTCTCACGTTGACTGCTGACCTGAGATGGAACAAATACATTGAGTCAATTGCTTCGTCCACCGCAAGGAAAGTTGGCTCCCTGTGCCACGCCAGGAACTTTTTCTCCCCGGAATCGATCCTTCAGATCTACAAATCAACAATTCGCCCTTGCATGGAGTATTGCTGCCATATATGGTCTGGAGCCCCTTCTGTTTGCCTTTGGGTTCTTGATAGGCTCCAGAGGCGGATATGCAATATAACTGGCCCTGTTCTGGCATCTCGTCTACAGTTACTTTCTCACAGACGCACCGTCGCCTCTCTCTGTCTTTTTTACAAATACTTTCATGGCAATTGCTCCGAGGAGCTGCATTCGCTGGTTCCTATACTTCATGAATACAAAATTAATAATAATCATCTGTGTTGTATATCTGAGATGAGGCATTATAAGCCATATTCACGACATTACGGCCATATGTGTTCCCTCTGGTCTGGCCAGGTATTGAACTCACAACTCTTTGGGTCAAATCACTTTTTGGATTACTTTTATCCACTGGGCCATGTGTCCCTGTAGCTTAATATTTCTACGAAGGATGAAGATTTGGTTTTTATGTTCTTGTGTTTTCGGGCCTAAGTAGGAACGAGGAGATTGTGTACGCCAGGGAATATGTTTCCAAGGTTCTGTATTTCGATCGCACTTAACGAATTTATGAGAATGCTGAAGTGCGCAAGTAATATATTTGAACATTTTCAAACACGAAAAGGCAGACATACATTCAGGCACATACAGTTAGGACAGAGGCCACATCTGCGCAAAGTTTGCCATCACTTATACAGTCATTCTTATGACTCGTAGGTAATACCAAGATTGGGGAGGACTGAGATCAATAATGCTAGAATATAGTCTTCATATACATATTTCTTCTTCTTCTTGGAGAATCATGATCGCCCACGTCCTGAAGAGCTATTTGTAGCTATTAGTAATTGTTAAGGGGTCCACCCCTTTTTATACAAGTAGACTCGCTCAGTGTGTACTTGTACTGCTGCCGGTGAATACCCGTAAGAGAGTGAGAGAGTAAGAGTGTGAGGTAACCGCTTTGTAGGAGTCACAGTTGCGAGCACGTAGATTCAGAATGAAGTCATACTTCGATACTGAATTTCCCAGACTGTATATATATTATTATTATTGCTACTAACCGCATTTCAGGATCTACTAACCGTATTACCAATTGTATTATTACGCCAATACATTTATTTGTTATATTTCATTCCTGCGTTTGTCATTCATTTGAGAACGGATTTCATCCCGGAATCCACAACAGTATTGCTTGTTAATTTGCTATATCTCCTAATCTCAGTTCTGCCAACACAAGCCCGTTATGTAGGTTCTGTACGCTTGGCTTCAACCTGTCTTGTGTGTATTAAATTTTCCAAGCCATCTTTCCTCATTATGCGCCTTCCAAATTTCAATAGGCGCTTTCTGTTTCTAAGAATGAGAGTCCTCCAAAATGTAGTTGTTGCGCACATGTTCAGTCGAAGTTTTAAACGCACACGCGTACACACATCACGCATATATTTATATATAGTAAATTGCTGATATGAATGGATGAACAGGTCCGTCTACGAAACTCTGGAGTCGGGATGCTGAAGGTAACACCAATCAGCTAAGTGACAAATTTTACTCACATATTAATTTTGTATACCATGTCCTTTCTGGAAGTGGGCAAATATAACCCTCCAAAACTTTTTGCTATTGTTACTGGCAAAATCTTTTGTTCATTTACAATTCCTCTTTCTATTTGTAGTTTTTCTTTTACATTTCATTCAATAAAAATGTTCAAGTCTCCGAACCTTCTTTCCTCATTATGTGTCACATAAATTTCAGCTGCCGCTATGTGAGCAGCAGTTCTTCTTCTTCTTCTTCTTCTTCTTCTTCTTCTTCTTCTTCTTCTTCTTCTTCTTCTTCTTCTTCTTCTTCCACGTTTCTCACATGATCTGTCCATGAAAATCTCAGCATGCTTCGGTAGAATCATGTTTCAAGTCTCTACTACCACTAATAATAATAATAATTCACATATATATAAAACACAATCTGTTATTTCATTGTGATTTTTCTCCTATAAGATTTATGTTCAACATTAAATGTCCAAACAAGAGTAGATATGTCCTTCAATTAACAAACCTTCTTTTACTTTTTATGTGCCATGTCCTTTCAGGACGTAGGCGATCATGGCTCTCCACTTCCCCCCTACCCCTTCTAGCTCTCAATAAGTTTCGTGCCTCTGCCAACTCCCCCAGGCCACATTGTGCCATTCACTTGATTAAGCCCGCCAGGTTATGTCATGCATTGCTTTCCTTTGTCTCTTTTTTCCCTGTGAGTATCAGATTCTCCAGGCCCTTCTTTCTCATTACGTGTCCCAGAAATTTCATCTGCCTCTTCCCTATGTTAAGTATAAGCTTCCTCCTTGTTTGCATCCTCTCCAAGACCTCATCGTTTCTCACACACTCGCTCCATGATATCCTTAGCATCCTTCTACAGGGTCACATCTTCGCTGCCTCGAGTCGCTTCTTCATCTTTAAGAAGATCGTCCAACATTCGCTGCTGTATGGGAGGGCAGATGTCACGTAGCAGATCAGTATTCTTTTCTTTGTCACCAAAGAAATCCCCCTGTCTCGATGTACTTTACCCAGCTTTTGGAATACATCCTTGGCCATCCCAATCCGTCTACAGAGTCACATCTTCGCTGCCTACCGTCCTCCGTCAAAACACTTCCCAGATATTTAAACTTCTGCACATGCTTGTTTTTAGTGTCCTCGACCTGCAAATCGCATTTCAGGCTCATCCTTTTACTGATGACAATGCGTTCTGTCTTCTTGTTGTTTATGGTTAGTTCTTTCTTATCTCTCTCTCTCTCTCTCCCTCTCGCTCCCCCCCTCTCTCTCTCTCTCTCTCTCTCTCTCTCTCTCTCTCTCTCTCTCTCTCTCTCTTGCTACCATCTGTAGGAGGTTTTGTAGTTTCTTTTACGTGCCTGTTATCAGTACGGTGCCATCTGCGTATCTTATGTTGGTAAGATTATGGCCGCCAATGCTGAATCCTGGTAGGATCTCTAATTCTAATCTAACCGAAAATAATTGGCTAAGTACTTTTATATTATATCTCACACATTATCTATTATATCATAACTCACACATTATAAATGTTTTATTACACCACTTCATCGATTATTCATATTTCGATTTTCCGGAATTCGATTAGCAGGACAGTTTTATAACTAATACTTCTTGATTTTACGCTTTGAAATTGAATTGTCTTCGAATGATAAAAAAAAACAAAAAAAAAAAACACGAAAAATGGTACTGTTATCCGTTGAGGAGAAATTGAATATTTGTGTCAAGATGCAAAAAAAAAAAAAAATATCCAAAAACCAAGATCACGGCGAAATGTGATATAAGGAAATGTCAGCGATGTTTATGATTAACAAATATTTAATTTAGTTACGCTTTCAATTAGATGCTAACCTTATAAATATATCTACTTTAATCTATCCCCCAAAAGTTAGTGTCAGAAAATTGAGAAGCCAGCCAGAAACAGACAAAAGTTGACGCATTTTTTCATTAACTATGTTACATATTCATAAGTCTACCAATCGTCCCTACTTAGAATATTGCTATCACATATGGTATGGTGCCCCTTCTATATATTTAAGAGATCCTTGATAAAATACACAGAAGAATCTGCAATGTCATTGATCCTGACTTAGCATCTCGGCTTCAGTCACATTTCCCACTGTCGTAATGTAGCTTCCCTGTGCCTTTTCTATACATATTTTCATGGAAATTGCTCTGGTTAACTTTGCTGTATGGCACGTAGATTCTGTGTATTTAAGCGAAGTAATAGATTGGTCTCATCAATTTACAATTGAATTGGTTAGATGTAACCGTAATTTTTATGCTAGAAGTTTCTTACACTTCTCGCATGTGGAACTCTCTTTCGGATTCTTGCTTTCCAGTCATGACTGATCTTTAAAAATGTAAACGAAATGTCAATCGTTTTTCTTCTGTCTTATTAATTTCTGTTCTTTTTATTTTTCTTGCTCCTTAATCATGATTTTTTCTTTTGTATTCTTTCACACTCAGTAATCCCCACCCACGGCATCTTAGTAGCTTTGTTGCCTAGCTTGGGATAAAATAATTTTAAAAATAAATAAGTAAATAAATAAATAAAAATAAACTGGAGAAAATGTTATTTGGGTGTATAAGTACATAATTTTTTTTCAGAAAATGACTTTTTTTTATTATCAATTCTTTTTCGCTACTTTAGATATTCAATTATCCGAGATTTTAAAATTATCCGAGCATATTTTTTCAACACCTGTCTCAAGATGTCCGGATAATCGAGAAAGTACCGTAGTTGCTTTCTTTTCATCACTTTATTGTGACTGCATTTTGTAGAAAGCAAATAATACAAAGAAGAACTTAACGAAAAATGAAGCCTTCGTTAGTCACATGCGGTGTTTTGTTAACCAAAATTTTTTTAAGTACTCGTAATTTCTAGTTGACAACTTATTTCTTTTGCTCCCTCCCACCATTCTCCTGACTCAGTGAATGTGTGCATCCCGCGGTGTAGCACAGTTGTAACTCAATTGTTGTTGGAGGCAGATGCCAGAGAACTAGGATAATGGCAATTTTTCATCTAAGAAACACGAAAAGCTCTATCTTTACAGTACAGTCTTTAGTAGACATCTTCTTTTTTTTTGATAAATAAAATAAAATAAATTTTGTAAACGTCAATTTAGTTAATTACCTTTTAGTTTAACTAAATTCATGTTTTCTGCTCATTTGAATGGGGTGCTTCATCAGTATGTGATTTTTGCGTTCATTTTTACGATATGTGAAAGCGGGAAAATTTTAAGTCAACGATTATGAACAACAATTAATAAAAGGCAACTGATCAGGAACAGCTGGACGTCCCAGAAACTATCAAGTCGATTCGATTGTCTCCAGACCAGTGTTTCTCAACCTTTTAAAGCAATAGCACACTTAGGTGCAAATGAAATTATCACGGCACACTTAGCAAATTTTTGAAAGGGGATATGTTTAAATGTTATGAAATAAAGCGATATATTTAAAACTAGCAGTAGAGCTCGACGTTGCCCGGGGATGTAACAGTAAGAGATAGATCAAGTATCGACCATCATAAAGACTGAAAAATAAAATTGACAAAGATTATTGTTTAAGGTTGACGGACACACATGTCTTAATTAGTTTTATTTTTTTGTTTTGTTTTGTTTTTTGTTTTTTTTACGAATTGGTCAAACCCAAACTCAAACAAAAACATTGTTTTCAATCGTTATGAGTCTATATTATTGATTGAATAGAATTTTATTATAAACAATTGTCTTGTAGATGGAATTTTTAAAGCATTCTGAAGGTTGAAAAATGTAGGAAATCCGATCCCATATATAAACAAACACACACACACACACACACACACAAACAACCAACCTGTATTTTATAATAAGTATAACTCGATATGAGTTGTCCCCCTTTCATTAATGCCTCTTAATCATGTTTTCAAATTGATTTCGTGCAAAAACAATTGTGTTTTTCCAATTTTTGGCGCTGTCAGAACCACCGAGCACATAAGCTCGGTCAAAAATTTCCTGTAGACCTAGTATAAAACGAGGTCGGGTAGCTGTTTCCCGAGACGAGATTCTGCCCTTCGACATAGCCTCGTCTGGGGATCCTCTCTACTCGGAGACAGAGAGTTTGACCAGCACAGCTGG